TTAGTAGAAATTTTTTTAAAACATCTTTCAACGTTATGTTGACAGATAAATTCACATGAGCAAAAGAAGTTATAATTTAATTTTAAAGTAATTGAAAGCTAATATCTTAGAGTGATAATTAGGTGTGACAGACTTGTTTCAAAGCATGGAGCATAAGGTCCGATTTTGATAACTGCAAAAACTAAATGCATTTAGAGAGATGGATAAAATTCGATTTCAGTGATTAATACCGAAAGCAAGCGGAAATCAACGTTGATAATTTATCACCTTATAACCTCTGAGCTGAAGTAAAACTTTGATGAGGCTGGCCAGTTGATTACCCGTGCTACGTCGATAACTTATAAATACGTCAATCTGCTTACTCAAAATTGCTACTTCAATGTCATCAATATGCTTGCTATCTGCAATTCTTAAGCATCAAATTTTGCGGATAACTTAAAAATTATCAACTTAAAATTTTGGATTCGAAATGTATAAATTTGAATAGTGAAAAACGAGCTAGCCAGAAAACTTGAAATGCTGAAAGTATTTTTCACCTTGCAAAGCTTGTCTTAATTTAAGCCTGTGGATAGGATTATGCATACCACAGACTGTTTTCATCATTTCATCGGTTAAAGAAGGCAATAAACTTCGATTCAAACCCATTCCAAGCATTTGATAAGTATAAACGGATAATTCGGGGCTTAGTGACATCAAAAATTGATCCAACTGACTTTCGTCAACACTTCCGTAATCAGCTGCAATCTGCAATCAGTTCCACTTCTAAAAAAGCTCTAAGAATTCTGGGAAAATGACCAAATGATGATCGACAGTCTTTCTCGATGCTACTTAATGCAAAAACCAGTTAAATGAATGTTTTATACAGAATACTGACTTAAAGCAATGACAGATAATACAGTGTGAAATATTAATTTAAAGCGTACTTTGAGGCTCTCAAGTTCTCGTATAAAACGTTTTCGAAGCAAAGCAGAAGACATCTGAAGGTCTTGTTCCAACTCTTTTTCTGTCAACAACAATAACAAGTCACCATCAACCATGTGTTTAGCAAAGGCATCTGTGTATGATTCGAAACCAATCTATAAAGTTTTGTATCTGAATTGCAAGAGTGATTTCAGCAGAAATTCTATGCAATACCACAAATACTATTAACGTTACCAAAATTTAAAAATTTTTTGACTTCCATAACAAGGCACTTTTTTTCAATTCTAATTAATAATATAAAAATCTTGTAGAGATGGAAAAATTGTTCGTCAGAAGTAAATTCAGAAGACATTTTTGATGATATTTTAATATGTTAATGAGAATACACAAAACAAACGTAACACTAGTAATATTTCATCATTTTAGTCAAAAGTTTTGGTTTCGAACTTAAAATTGTGGAGCAATTTGCGCAAGCTTTTTTTTGCCCAACTATGCAGCCAAAAGTAATGATCTCTCAACAAGTTTACATTAAATTATAACTGTAAGCAAAGATCGAATTCAGCAGCAAAGTTAATGCAAAGTTTCAAATTTACTAACTTTCTTCACCCAGTACTGTACATCAGCAATTGTCCAGCACGGTACTTGTTGAGTAAGTTTATAAGGTACTTCCTCTCCAATGACAGTTAAAGCTTCACTTGCAAACTTGGCCGCAACTTCATCTGGACTAGATGCAACTTCCTTAAGAGCTGCTATTGCTCCAATCTCCTGAAACTCATCAAAGTGCCAGTACTATCACTCAAATTCTTAACTTCCATCTCAGATAACAATCAATTTTTTCTTCTAAAAGCAAGATTAGGATCAACTCTTCAATTTATTCATTGTCAGCACAAGATTAATTACACTTATAACGCATGTCACTTCATGTTAATCTCAAGTACTCAAATATACGGATATCCAGGAATCAGTCAGATGCATTACAGTCATCTCAAAAATAGCATAAGATTACTTTCAATCAAAATAAAGCAGCGACTTATATTATTGTGCATTAAAATATGAATCTCGCATTTTACTCATTATTCCGTTATTCACTCTTTCCATTATTCAGTCAAGCACAATAACTCCTTTTCTAAAAGTAAAATCAGAATTAATCCTCAAAATAAACTAAATACTCAAATATACCTTAACAAATTCATCATCATATGGTTTTGCGAGACATCGTCGTGTACGCGAACGTTTTAGTTGCATGATTTTATAAGGTAGTCTCATTTCTGAAGCATTACTTAAAAATGCGTAAGCTACGCACGGCTATGATTGCAGTAATAATAGTAATCGAAGTGATACTAATAAACATTAAATAATAAAAAAAATCAAAATAAATTAGAATTATGAAAAAATATAAATATATGGTACGATCATAAAACAGAATGATTGGTGGTTAATGAAAAGGTTGAATCGTGATAGCTATTGGAGATTTTTAAGATCCTTCAATACTACTTGGCAGGAGGGAAGGAGTAGAAAAATATTTGAAATTAAATTTGAAAAGACAGTGATAATTTTGTGCGTATTTATTTTGTAATCGTATATGCAAACACGCCCAGAAGTAGCGATGTGACACACATATACACACGCACACACACACGTAGACGTACACACCCATTTGTGCAAACGCATATTTCTTGCATGCATTAATTGTATAAAGTGTTTGAAAAAAGTTTGTGGGAAAATATTCGAACAATAAATTGCATGCAAGAGAAATTGTAAAAAAAGAGAATTCGAAGGAGAATCGTCCTGTAGAATGATGCGAGCGAGAAGAGTAGAAGTTTAAAAATTGTGTATGAAATCAGACAATCGCCATCTTGATCAGTTTAGTTTCAATTCATCATTCAAATCTTTCTTTTGTTACAGAAATAAGGTAAAAAATCCAGAAAACTGCTTAGACTGCTTCAAAAAGTTTACACCATCGTTAGTAGCCAATCAGTTAGTCATCAGAAACTTTGACGCAAAAATTCATGACTCACTTGAGACGCTTTGCTTTGCTTAGCAAAAAAACCGTATGCAAAATAATAACTTTACTTGGAAGGAATGACTGACTTGCTTTTCTAAGAATTCTAATCAAGTATTGGATTTAATACTGAGGTAGATAAATAAATTAATTGATCTAATTTTATGCATTCAAAACTTACTAACAAATATTGTACTGAATATATAAGTAAAGATATCGCAAATCATAATTTGTATTCTTTACAGTGCATTGTTCTTAGCTGACAAATAAATCAGTAAGCTTTTCCGATGCAATTAAAAAACAATCCAACTTTTTATCTGATAAAAAAGTGAGATAAGGTATCAGCAAATTTTTTCTATCGCCCATACAACCTTTTATTTGAAATCCATGCGAACATTTGCAGAAAAATTTGTAGCAAAAAAAGAGGAAAGTGTATTGAAAGCTTATATTCTGACTGTGATAATGAATCAGTGAATAGAGTTACATTCTTATCATTCCGTTATGATCTTATAACAATGTTAATATTATTGCCTGCCTTATCAATGCAGTAACAAATATGCTATCTCCAGCTTTTTTTTGAATCAAATAGATCAAATTTGTCAGATTTTTTATTTTTTTTTGCAGAAGAAATTTGAATACGTAAAGGTTTATGTCAAATTCTTGCGACAACTAATGAAGTAAAAAATAAAATAAACTATTACAAATGCTGGTGTTCCATTTTTTCGTGCTCATAACCGAAAAAATTTTTCCTCAGCCTTTACCGGGCAAAAAAGTCCTGCTGGGAAAATAATTGGTGACAATTTGTTTGGGAGAGTAACCTCGTAGCATTATATCGCAAAGTTTTGCCCTTGTACTGAAGAATAATTTCATGGATAACTAACTAACTTGGAAAACTTCAAGTTTCTGTTGATCTTTCTTGATTGTGGCTTCCATTGTAAAATGAAATGCTGCGATGCTTCGAGCTTCACGACATTTTGATTTCAACATTGGCAGCAATCTAGAATTTGTTTTAATTATTATTATAACTAATTGACAGAATATTCTTCTAAAATTCCCTCACCGAATATATTCAAATCACACAAGTCAACTTAATCACACTCAAACATCTTATCATGGAATGGATTGAAATTCTTCAGAAATTCAGTGTTTTCAATGTACTTCGTTTTCCCTCATCATTAGCTTTTCACTTTAAAAGTTTCTAAGAATATTATTATCTAGTATTTAGGAATTGTTTGAGATATATTACATTTTCCATTCACTCCCTGATGAATAACTCGGTAGCGTTTAAGGTGTGTGGGTGGATATTTGCTGATTATTTTAACTTTGAAGTGTTGCTTTCATTGATCCATAGGTGCGCAAAGTAGGCAAATTCACTCAAACTGACAGAACTACAGAAATTGCTCATTTTTCAAATTTCAATCTGTACAATTCATTGATAAACTGCTAATGTCAATATTATGATCACTTTTTTGTCAGATAATAATCAAATTGATCTGTGTTTCTGTGCGAACACGTGGCGGGTGTCTTTCGGTACGAATTGCAATCAGTCACACCCATACTTGTGAATCACATTTTAATGCTAAAATATTTTGGGAATTTCTAATTGACTGGTAATAAGCTGAATGACTATGAGTCAGATCAATCATAATTAGCATAATAATAGTAATAACGATAATGACATGACAATGATGATAATACTGTCGTGATCTGTATTCATGATAACAATGCTGATAACAATTAAAGTAAATAATGAAACGTTTTTACCAGTATGATAAATGCAATCAAGGAAAGTTGATACTTTTGATCTTTAATGCTCGATAATATTTGGCTACTTTGAGAGAATATTAAGATGAACCTGACTTCTTTTCTACTCAAATGAATCAAATTAATTAACTGTCTAATTTTGAATTTTACATCTATAAATGGTAGCAGTGCTTGCGCATGATTAGATTTACTGTATAAAAAGTCTAAAACTGATCGCCAAATTTATTGTGGAATTGTCAACAATAGTAAGTAAAACCTCTGTATATTTCATCTGTTTACTTTTGTATTACTCAAACATATGCAAATTGTGTTTGCTTTACTTAATTTTTGCTTTGATAGATGACAGTTCTATAATAAATTTTAACCTATAAAAAGTGAAAAATTATGAATGCCATAAAAAAACAATCATAACTACATTTTGAACGTATCAATCTCCTGTTATGCTTAAATTCCCAAAAAAATCAAAAATTCCCAATTTATTAGTTTGAAAAAGTAAAAACTTCCAAAAATGATAAGAAAAGAGACAGTTTTGTTGAATAATAACAGAGAAAGTAAGTACTTTCTGAATTTAATTACCTAAGATGGCTTGATTAGTCTTTACTTCAAAATATGAATATACAACACATTTCAAACTTTGAGTACAACTATGGCAGTCTTTACTATACTCGTAAATGAATAACTGTAAACAAATGGATAATTACTGTAAATGAATTGCACAACCTTTCAAGCCACTCCTTAGGCCTTCCTTGTGAGTGCTTGTAATGATCTCCAGCGAAAGTAATAGCCTGATGGGCTAGTAAGAAAGGCTCTACTAGAGCTAAAGTTCCTGACTTATTCACTGCCGCTTCCATCTCTTTTGTACTACCAAGCATACAAATGGCCAAACATGCGTAATACCGTGTGATATCATCGGGTTGAGATGCAAGCAAAAATAACCAATCTGGTACCTGCAACAATCACTCAATTCATTCACTACCTCGTGATCAATTCTTGAATTTATTTCCAGCACATAATTTTTCAATTAATCAATTAAAAACTTATTGCTACAGTGAACAATTTCGACCAATCTGTCAGCCAATTATCTCAGTTTATTCAGCAACTAATTTTTTGGGTGTGTAATTTATTTACTTTATGAAAGTGAGAGAAAAGACTAATGCTGAAGGCACGCAGACTGAGTACAGAAGCACACATCAATATCAAGCTTTACTTGCTTCTGGCAAAAATTAGTAATCATTATTGCAGTCGTTGAAATTGAAATTAAATAAAGGAATATCTACGGATGTGAAATGATCAAAATTTTAATTAAATCTGAAGGTGCGGGTTGTTGAGGCCACTGATTACGAAGAATGGAAGGTTTTGCTGGTATCAGACTTGTTGGTTTATTTTTCGGGTTTTTATACACGAACTAGGAAAAATTTCTCAAAAGGTAGATATTGAAAACTGTAGAAATGAGAGCATAAACATTATGAAGAAATAAATATAGCACGATTTGATTTCGTTTAAATCCTTTTAATTTATTCAACATTCACAATTCATTATTCTCTGGAAATTAATCATAAATCGTAAGAAAAAATGGTCAGATCTTAGATAAGACTGCTTTTGGTCAAAAAAAGTCATTTGACACAAATAAAAGAGGGAAAAATTACTAATAACTTGAAAAGAAAATCTATTTTTTCTTAAAAATAAAATGTTACAAACGGACAAATCACATAGTTTCTAGTAGACGCCGCGAACAAGCATAAAGTATTTGGCACGAATTAAAAGATAGTGTAATTTGTTCAGGGAAGTTTCAATTTTCTGAATAGAAAGATCTGATATGATAAGAGCTATAAGATAGATACCTTTTTTTGAATAATTTTCTTTTTTGCCTCAGAACAACTGTACAGGGACAAGTTTGCAAGTGCGAGTGCAGCATGTCTCAAGGTAATTGGTGTTTCCGTTGCACGTTTACACGTCAATAAAATGTGGTCTAATACACCATATTCAATTAACCTGTAAATGATAAAAAAATGAATACTGTACTTATGCTACTACAGTCCTCTGAATCAATGCCTATGATTCCATGGTTCGTTACATAGCTACACCATAATATGAAAAGAATTTCATTGCTCCTTGTTATGTTTTTAACACTGATGAAAGTTAACTGAATGCTATCATTTTATACTTTTTAAGTACAATCAGAATAAATTTTAAAAAACCGTTGAAATCATATTAAATATTCTACTTATTATAATTAGCCGATATTTATTAATTTGTGAATACATTTCTAATGAAAATTTCTTACACGTTAATTTCCTAAAATATTTAATTTCTGAGAGAAACAAATGAAACCTATAAGTAGTAGCGGTTGAATGCTTAAATAAGCTTTCCATTATAGATAACGACATTCGCTGTTGTTCAGGGTTTTTGTTTAATTTCTCTGCGGTTGCTACCAATTTTTTCAAGAATCCTCTATTAACAACATATTCTCGATTATTCAAAGATAGACATTCTTCCAAGACCCTTCCACAAGCTAATCGAACTGCAAAATAAATCAGCAGTAATACTTGAAAATATGTATGGATTAGAATGAATCTAAAGAACTTTATATTTTGAAACTTATAAAAACATTGAAAAAGTAAAGTGATAACTTAGGTAAGTCAGGCTTTTCATGCATTACTTTTTATAAACATTAAGGAGTTGTAAAAGAATTCAAATGACGCAAGTTGGCAAAGGTAAACGGCGCTAATGAGGCAGTGAAAACAAATGTTAGCAACAATCTTGTTGAGGAATTTTATCCCCTTAAGTAAACTTTTCTTTCTCATCAAAGTGAAAAATGAACTGAACAACACTAGCAATAGCATTCAAATGCAAGCGAGTTGTCATTTTTCATTTTGCAATCAAAATTAAGACTGAGTAACGGTTTTACTTCATAACGTTAAGTAAAAGAGAAAAAAGTATTCGAATAAGTATTTATTTAAATTATTTGTAGTAATAATTCTAGATGAAAAATACTTCATTATCGCGCAGATACAGCAAATAACTGATCACGGAAATATTACCTGGTTCACAAGTCTGAGCTTTAATAAAATTCATCACCAGCAAGTCAAGATAATTCTGATCACGTAGATAATCACAAAGAGCGTACGATAGGTCGTGAGAAATTTTCGGAAACATCCAAGCTTTTGTCATCACTTTTGCTACTATTGTACATCCCTGTAACATGTAATATAACTTTCACTTCAAATAATTACTTGAAATAATTCTTCAGTTCATTAACTTAATGTTAAGAGTTAACTTATAACTCTTAACATTCGTTAAATAAACATAATCAAATTTATGACCTCTAAAAGACTTTCTGTAATAGTTTTGGAACACTAAACGAGCATACTGTAATTTTGTAATATTGTCATTTAAAGATTGAATGTTAGCATACATAAAATTCTATATGCGTTGCTTTTTGATCGTTCAACTAATAATGATATTTTTACGCTTCGGAAAAGTTAAAATTCTGCAGTAAATTATAAGGGAGCACTTTGTGCTTTTTTCTTAACGAGGTCATTTGCTTAGCACTAACGACACGACACAAAGAACATTCAGAAGTAAACGAAGTACAGAGGTCAATTTTGCATGTCATTTATTATTTGAACTTAAACTTTTTTTCTGCAACCTTACATGTATGAATCATACACACAAATATTAGCCATCGAAATATAAACAAATTGTCTGTACGTATTAAATGCTCCATAATATTATGCTCACATTACGTAATACTGCTAATGCCATCAAAAATGCAAAAAATTTCATCATTTGCGCCTAAAATTCTGATTAAATCAAAGTTGACTTTTCTTTCAAAGTTCTTCGCGTGACAGACTTTAGGTGAAGTTGAAAATTTACTGCTAATAATAAAGGAGAAAATATTATGATGGATTTGGTGGAAAAATTTTTGAATTTACGAATTAGTTTTAATTTACAAATTTTGATATAAAAAGTTGTCAAGATTGTTTATCGTATGCATTTGATTTCCAGAATTATTTTCTCTGGAGCATAGTTTCATAAGGAAAAAAGAATCAAGCGCATGTTTGCATCGAAAATTTTTAAAAGTTCAAATTTGGATACATTTAAAATTTGAAATTGAAGCTTAGAGATCAAAGTTGTCACCTCAATAATCTGTTCATCACTGCCTTGAGCAATGTGTTCGAATGCTTTATCAATAAAGTTTTGGTATTTTGATAATTTTGTCTTCAAGGTGTGCATCATCATCACTTGTTCTGTATGAGAATGCTTTGTTAATGGTCCATTAGTTACTGTATCCTATAAATTACACAAATAATAGAAGCTTCTCAAAAGTGCGCAAATTTTATAAAATGTATAAAAAGTTGCCTGAAATAAATTTAGCCGATTTGGTGGAGATGATCGCGGATCAGTGATTGGCGATAAATCATCAATTGTTACATCCATTTCAGGAGCTGGCAAAGAACAAACTCCAGCTGAAGAACCTTCACTTTTGAAGCGTCGATATTCTGATTCCTATCAATAAAAGAAAGTTTTCTGTTGATTCAAGTCATGTTAGCGATTCTCAGCGCAAGTAGTAAAATTACAAATTTTTTTGAAAATGAAAA